TGAATAACCGGTAAATCGGGGGTTAAAACAGGGGGCCGGGGATGAATTGGGGGTTGTCAAACGTAGGCCTACAGTACTTTAGGTATCGCTGGGTAGATATTTTTTTGAGTAGAGTTTTTTTTCAATGTTGTAATTTAATTAAACTTGAGTGACAAACTACTCAATTTCTTGATTAGCATCATACGTTTTATTAAATTACCTGAAAGTACAAAAATACGTCAAATAACACTTGTAATAATATTTTTACTCTTATACGGTTTACTCGCAAGACGGCAAGATGTGTAAATACATAAACAATATATTTTAAAAGATGTCTTTTAAATATATACTATATATTTTGTAGTAACTTAAATATAAAACGTAAATAAATTAAGTTTTATTCAAAATATTTTTGTATTTTCAGGTAAACTATTAGAAAATAAAACTCAATTGTTTTCAGAGCTTGGGATGGATAAATGTAAAAATCATACTTTACTAAGTTTTATCCTCATAAAATATTTACGGCTTGAACACAATATTGTTAAAAATCTAATTCACTAATTTAGTTAACAACCTAGTTATCCTACTAATATTATAAATGAGAAAGTTTAGATGTATGGATGTGTGGATGTATGTTTGTGACAAGTGAACGCGAAAAATACTGGTTGGATTGGGCTGAAATTTGGCATGATGATAGCTAACATTCCCGATTAACATATAGGCATATTCTTATTTCAAAAATCCTTTCGGGCTCCGCCCCAGTGGCTCTGGAGTTTCCCATGTTAACCTTATGAGAAATGGAATTATTGAATCTTAACAGCTGTTTCAATTAAACAAGTTGGTTCTGTTCTATGATGTTCAATAGCATTAAAGTTACTAGGATTACCAACAGGGTGCAGCACTATTATTTCTTTTACATTTATGACAACAGCTAATTTGCAACCAAAAGGTGAGTGAGCGTAGCGAACGAACTTCAACCTGGAGGCGAGTTAGAGTAGCGAACGAGCTAACCTGAAGGCAAGTGAGCGCAGCGAACGAGCTCCAACCTAAAGGTGAGTGAGCGTAGCGAACAAACTTCAACCAGGACGTGATTGAGCCATGCGAACGAGATTATCTTGAAAATTTAAAAGTTAAACGGGGCAAAGCCCGCGGGTTACAGCTAGTATTATATAAGTGAGCCACTGAGGCCATTATTTGAAAACTGCAATTGTTGTCTTAGAGAGGCCTATGTGTTAAGCTATGTTAGAGTCTGGCCAAGTCTAGATGGTTAAATACAAGAGAGAGGATACCGAGGAGAGTCAATTTACCTCAAGAGAAACCAGGTAATGCTTTTAGCTGAGCCTGTTCGCCAAGGATAAACTCAAGAAATACTTTTATAATGGTAATATGGCTAACTCAAAAACGAAAATATGAAACCCACTTAGGTCTATAGCTATGTCGAATAGTTATCGAAAAGGGCTTTCATATAAATAATACAGTTTACAGGATAAAGCATATAATAAACTCTTGAAGAAAGTTATTATGGTATTGTTCAATTTTATTTAATTAATAAATTAATAAGCTTATTTTGATGTCACTGGAGCTTCTCGGAGTTTGCATCTGAAACTTTCTTCGAGCAATTCTTGTGATTAAGAGTAATACCAAACCTACAGTCTTAGTTCAGTCTCTCTATCTATAACTTTGACTGTTGATATCTGGTGTGCCTGATCGAATTCGATCATCAATGTAATATATTTAGTAAATATTAGCCTTTAAGTAAATATTTTATAAGAGTATAAATCTAGGCAAATGTATAAATAATGGGAAAGGTTCTTAATGTATATGTAAAGGAAAACTATGAAGGACAAAAACCAAGGAAAAGGGTAAAGAATATATATCTACGTGGAAAGTCTATGCAGCTGTAAATATTGTGAAAAGTGGTAATTTTTATTGTCATAAAATAGATTTGCATGCACATTTAAATTGCCAGTAGCCAAGACAAACTGGTTATTTTTTATTGATTCACATCCATCATTGTAAACACACGTGTAATCTTTTTAGTTTTTACTAAAATAAACTTTACAGAAGTAAAATATATAATATAATATAATTATGATATATTATTATTTATTTGTAATCATAATTTGTAATCATCAAGCATAACGGTCCTTATAAAGTTTGAAACCAAGAGAGAAAGTATTTTTATTTGAGCTAGTGTTATTCAAACACCATCACATTGTTTTCAATTAGGGTTTTAATCTTATACTGCTAAGGAAATACTATGCATAGATTACCGATTGGAATCCGTGATAAATTGAGTAGGTATTATGTGTTGATAGTGTCACCTTGACTGACACAGCAGCAATCAATACTGGAACAACACTGTTGTCCCCCTCGGATCTCTACGTGTTCAAGATGAAAATAGAACAATACCTCTATTACATTGTGGTTGGTTTTACATTCTAGAATAAATTATTTCACTTATTTAGTGTAGGTAATTTAATGGTGTATTCCAGCCAAAACGGATTCAGCAACCTAAAACAACAGTATATTGTGACCAATTTTTTGAAATTAGTGAAATATTTTTGGGAAGAGTTTACAGCATTGCCAACTTAATTAAACTGGTTGAAACAATACCAACTCTTTTATATTCATAACTGTAGAATTTACAGGGTAATCCAAATAAAAGGTACTCATCATTTCACACCAATTAAATACTGTATTATTTATAAGCTGTACAAACGTACTCTTTCTTAAAACTAAGTGGTCTAAATGTTTTCCACCATTGTTTATTCCATTCGTCTTTGCATGTTTTCAACTATTTTTGAATATTGTTGTGGTTTGTACAGCTAATAAATAATTATTCATTGCCGGGAAATGATGAGTACCTTATTTGGTCCACCATGTACAATATATAGATTCCCACAATGGAAGACAAGAATATGATTTTGTTCGTAGCATTATGAGGTATAAATATGCTTTTCCTACAGTGGCATGTATCAATGTATTGACTCAGTGAAATGAAGGAACATTTGAAAAGGTGTCAAATTGATCACATTGCCATACCTGTAAACAGGACACAAAAAGGTTTTTTTTAAGCTCTAGATCTAGAATAATCAATTTATATTCGCTTGATCAGCTGGTTTCACTGTTGACGTTTCTACACCAATCACAGCCACGGACCAGGTACGTTAAACAGGTAAACAAATAACATAACATATAACAAACAATAACATATAGCGAACATAACCTAAATGACACGTTATATACATACATTTAAAAAGTTAATCTGTGTGCTATGTGGAGTTAATTACGGTGGTAAGAAAAAGCTTACGTTTATTACGAGCACAAATAGTCATTGCCGCTCTCGTAATGCACGGCGACTCAGCTAAAGCTTCGTGAGGCAATCTACAGTACAGTTCTGGAGCTGTAATGACGTACTTTGCTCTCTTAATACACCAATGGCTACTGTAACCTAATTTTAAAGTTATATTTTCTTGTAGTAATTTTACATAAAACAAACCACATTGACGGGTTGAAACCTAATACCATTGACTTAAAATAATTTACCAGCTGCGTTTGAATAAATTTATAAATGTGTATATTAACGCGTACTGCTGTTAAATAAATCCTACATTTTTCACTGTATGTTTTAAGCAGCAGAGTTGCGAATTCAGTCATGTTGTATTTTACCACAATGCCAACTTTGTTCTTTTGTGGACAGAGAAGCAACCCATATAGCCCTGAGGGTAGGTTTAGTAACAAAGGAAAGTTCATTTTCAGTCCGCTTTTGATTCTGTCGTAGGATGAGGCCTAGGTCGTTCTGTTGCAAAACCACTTAAAAAATTTTCAAACAAATGTTGAACATATCCATCTTTGTAATCAATATTCTGGTATAGTGTAATTTTATATAATAATTTAGTATTTTTATCATTGTATTATTACCGTAAATAAACGTACCATTCACACATTAAATTACATGTATCATACAAGTAATAATGTTTACAAATTGCATTGAAATATTTAATTTTGTATTCATTTTAATATTCATTTATCATATGTTTCTCAATATTTTTTTTTACTTAATCAGAATGGAAACACATACATGTTTTTACAGTAGCAAACGAACTCGAATTTATCTATAACCATAATATAAGTGTTTACATTAACATACAAGACAATTTCCCCCAAACCATTTAGTATGTAGTGGTTTTCTTTCAAGTTGCATTTGTAAAAGCCTTGGAGTTGTAAAAACACACTTTTACTTTCTTTATTCGAGCAGTCACAAGAAAGTGAACTCTTGTGCCTTTATTACCCCTTTAAGTTGATACTTTCCCCCTAAGACTCGTTTCGTGCCGACCTTTTCTCTTGTTTTCCAAAAATATTATGTTGATAAGATTTCAGAATGTCCATGAAAAACATTTTATATAGAAAATTAGTTTAGCGAGAAAGGGGAATTAGATTAAGACTCGTATGGTGTAGGCGTTTTGTTAATCTTTAGCAAAATGTGACTTTGAACAAATCTTTACTGTTATGATGGTAAATTACTCTACCTACTTTATTAGTGTAGCACATACATACAAGGTGCAAGAGCATGATACATATCTCGGATTTCTACTGTTATTAGTTATTAGGAAATATTTCAATTACAAAATTGTAGCTGCCCTCTCCCAAATAAGTAAAAAATTATATATTTCAATAATCATTCATTTCAATTTTAAAAAATATGTGTAATTGACGTAAATATGACAAGTTATTTATAAATAATAACTATATTGAATGTTCATAAATTTTTAAACTCTATTTTCAATGATTAAAATAATATTTTATCATCTTGGGATTGGTTGACCCAGGAAACATTTAAAACACATACAAACATAATTACAGTATATAATATTGTAAGATTTCAAATGAACTAGTTTGTATTATTTAACTTATTCATTTGTATCGTAATTATTTTTCCGTCTTCATTACTTGTTATTTTATCAATTGATGGTACTATCTTAGTTTATCACTATTGTAATTGTCATAATTTCCCTCACCTTAGCATGTGATATTGATAAGACACACGCCGTGACTACGAGGGTAGATCTCCACAGCAACATGGCGCTACTCTACAGGACCTGAAACATAAATTAATACCATTTTAAGGATTGAATATTACACCAAATGCCAAACATAACAAATATTGTTTACTTAACTTTTTTAAACCCACCTCCACATCCTAGGACCTAGGATCTATCTTAGAATCTCTTATACATTACTTTAGGATAGGCGTCTAGAGGGTTTCTGCACTATCACTTATGTAAATTATAGGCAATTGGCGGGATTTGAACCTTAGGACCTGTGTGACTAAAGCCCCGAACTAAAAACTAGACCAGCTTACATCCCTGTTTACTTACTTGTCGGTTAATTATGATAAATAGTCGTACAGTATACCACCTTTTCAACCCCAATCAATAAGTGGATGTTAATTAATTATCTTATTTAGTCTTAAGTTCTCATTATGACTTTTGTATGGATGTATATCTTAGGCGTAGAGAAATATAGATGTAACATTAGATGTGATATCCGTTTAACTGTGAAGAAGTGTTAAGAAACAACTTTAGAATAACATCATCGAGTTTAGCCTAATTGTTTCGTGGAAGTGTACGATTAAAATCTCTTACTGACCTATTTAAGTGAGATAAATTCTGAACCCTTATGCCGTTTAACGTTGTGCTTTCGATCAAATACCGTCTCATTATAGTCAATAGTTTGAATAATCCCTTACAAAAAACGCAAACATTTCAAAATATAAGTGTTCCTAGTTGTCACCGCCAAAAATAAAATGAAATACAAGTCAAGTCCTTCATTGTTTCATCTTCACTAATGTAATTCCTTTCGAAAACAAATTCACGAAGCAGGAATCTACAATTTAAAAACATCTGACGGAATAAAAACAGAATTCCTCGGTGGCCGGGACCAGGGCGGCCGGGACAAACCCAAAGCTATTTACTTTAGGGAAACATAACTTGTGTTTTTGTTTCCCCAAGCTGATTGCCTCAGGCTGCACAAACAAAGACGTGAGGTTATTGGAAATATTATTGTTGGACGGAATAAAACTCAAGAGTTTTCCTACATAATAAAATTACTTTAATTCTATTCAACGCGACGAGGATAAAAGGTTATTCAAGTTTTACTGTCAAAGAAGAACATATTGTTTGCACAGTAAAGGTTACATTACTAACTAAATACATTGATTAAAACTTTAGAATGTAAAGTTGTGTAATTCTTTGTATTTGATGCATATTGGTTGGGCAATTCAATTAAAATTCAATTAAATTTTTGTTTAGAAAGATTTCTGATGGGTAATAGATTAATATGTCTGTTCTTGTCATTTACATATTTTCTATAAATATTAACTAGAAGTTAGATAGTAAAGAGATTCGATTAAAGATTTATAGACAACCAACAATGCAGCACTATATTTGCATTTGAGTTTATTTGTGAAAATATTTCAAATGAAGGGAAACGTGTTTATTGTAGTGCAAAGATTAAATAACTCTAAAAGATATATTTTCACGATCAATATTAACCAGGCCAACTCAAGGTCACGTGTGTTTGTAACCAGAAAACTTTATTTTTATATTTAAAATTTATCGGGTTTCTAAGAACAGAAATATATATCATCCTGAAAAGGAAATGAAATATGTTATAGTAATTTGGGACATCATGGTTTTGAATTTGAAAAATGTAAAAGAAAAATACATTTTTATATAGCAAAACAATAGTTTAGTCCAATTTAATTTTAGTCTTCCGTTCAATTTTAGTGAGAGAATTGTGTGTTGACTGAAAGGCACCATGTTACATGATGTTATTAGGTCATAGGTCCGAGTTTGAAAAGTTCAAAAGATTAAAATTGTCTTATATAATTTAAAAAGAGTTTACATAATATTTCACTATCTAAGGTGCATAATGCCTAAGGAACTACTACGTATGTAATAGTTACGTTACGTTACGTTAGTTACGTTACTATGGTACGTAATAAAAACATAAAAAATATGTCTAAAAACCATACCTAATAAGATAAAATTTAAAACCAAAGAAGCAAATGATTATGCTAAATTCAAAAATTGTAATGATCTTTCCAACATCCTTCCAAACTGTGTGTTTTAGAGAATTCTCTCAAGAGATAAGTTCATGAAAATGTAAAACTACATTTACCCGATCCTCACAAAGAGCTTATTGCAATTGTTGTACCTCTTGACTTTGATTCTAGAAACACACAATCAGTGAAGATTTACGTAATCGAGTTGTGATTTCTTTGTCTTAAACAATGAAAATACAGAACTAAATTGAACAACTATTTCTTGCAATTTTACTTAAAATAAATTCGGCACTCCATTCATCTTGTTTGTTTACTGAACCTTCATATGTTATCAAAATTGATTTTCATATTTTTAGAAAGAACGATATTATTTTATAAAACGAGCTCGTTATTTCCTGAAACAACCTGTTATTGCAACGTAACAATTAGTTCACTATTAAAACGCGTTGTTATTAAAAACCATCCATATATTCCAATAACTAAAATCTTTGATATAATTCGTAATTGAATGTTTATAGCCAAGACAGATTTATTTGTGGTAAATATTAGAATAATTTCAAAACCAACAAAAAGATTTATTAAAAATCCTTTTAGGTGTCCTAAGGGTATTTCATCAAACACTTATTTAACAACCAACTACATACATAAAATATAACTTTTGCAAGAGGTTTCGTATCAACAGTCTTAATATCGTCGTATTATTGCAATATTGCATTAAAATATTATTATGATTTAATGATTTAATGTTACTATGTTTATTGGGGAGCGAGCTGGCGTAGTGGTTAGAGCGCGGGAGTCCCTGAGGTCCCAGGTTCGATTCCCGCCAAGTCACCAATGGATTTTATCTAAGTGATAATGCCGCAACCCCTAGGTCTAGCCTGAAGTAATGTGAAAAACAATCCCAGGCTCGTGCCTATATTTTGTCCTAGGACAAAAAAATGTTATTGTCGTATTCAGTGCATTACTGTTAGGAAGCAATGTTATTTTTAACTTACTTTTATGATGATACTATAGGTGATTTGAGAACACGTTTGTTCCGATAATTTGTTTACCAATTTATTAAGTTTTTGAAAACTCTGACATGTACCACCGGTGGTCACTGTTACAAGCAACAAAACGGCATTTTGGAGTCTTTGTGAGTATTTTTAGTATGTATTCGTGTTTGTAGAAGCCACATAAAATGAGTCCACACGTGGCACACGAAACAAATTCAGGTACATTAATAATGAAACACCGTATTCTAAAAAATGTGTTTTTATCTATTGCAACAAAAAGTTCAACAAGTTTTAAATATAAACAATTGAACTAAAAAGTCATTTTTCTAATGAAATTATGTTTTCAAGTTCATAGAACGTACTAGTTTTCAACATTATGAAATGATAACAGGTGGTTGTGTACCACGGATGGTACATGGGTTAATTAGCATGGATATCACCTAATTTTATTACCGAAATGGTACATGTAGTGTACATTTGATGAATAATTAACTATATCTAATTATTCCTATCAACACATTTTCATTTTGGTAGTTTATAGTAAGTCTATGTTAATTTGTACACAAATTTACTTTGGACCGAAATTTAATTCGTGCGCCACCGTTGGCCACGTCGGAGCGAACGCGTTAGGCATCAGGGTTTAAACTGAATCGCTTTATTGGTATCAAATTACCAATCCTTGCACATGACACCGAGCTTCGCCTGAACCGTCAGGTGGCAAAGGTGGCCGTGAGACAGGTGCCATGCGAGGTGGTTCCGTATCATCTTACCTTGCCCCTGACACGGTAGCCCCATCTAAGGACTCATTCAGGCTTTGTTTGAACTCAGGAGGACTTTTTTATGCTCAGTACGTATTGATCATTCATAGCTGTGTACTTTGAACATTTTCAAATAAACTTTGACAACAGTTGGTTTTAAAGGGTGGTAAAATAACAAGAAAGGTTTACAGTGTTGTTAACTGGATAACTTTGTTTACTACTTCCAGTAATCCATGAAAGCAATACTTTTATTAAATACAATTTAAGTAGTCATTTAAATAACTACAAAATAGTCACAGCACCGGTTCAGGATTGTATTTTTTAATTATTCGATCTACCAAGTACATTGTACACAGCTTGTATTTAAACATATAGAAGACATGTAGTTAATGAACCGTGAGACTATAATGAAAAATCATTTAAATGGCAAACATAAAAATTAATCAGTCTTATAGCTGTTATAATTATTTAATATTTTATGTGTACATTTTTCTGTGGCAACCTAATTTTTTTAGGTAGTAGTGTTTATTTCATTATAATTTCATTTCAAAAATAAGCATAACTTTTGTAAAAAAACACATTCTAAAACCTTTGCGATTTTGTAGACTTGTAGGCTAATGAAGTCTTTCAGATCACTGACAAACATCGATTTCCATGTGAAGCAGTAGAATGCTTAAATAAAACGAAAGATTCTGTTGTTTGAACCAACCCCACCACAATGACCCATCACCAAAAGCAATGCTACAACAACCAATGCCAAACACACTGAATGTTGTATGAAGAGGCAAACCGTGGGTTTGGTGTTATACACAAATGTACAAAGTCACTCGAAACCACACTGAAGCTTATCAATAACTTGGCAAACGCTTCCATAGCAACTCCCCGCTTCACTACCACGCTACCGCCCAACATGTCCACTGACCTTAGCGATTTTTATATCATTTTACAGAAATAACATCATGTAAAATCAGAACTCATAGAAGAACATTCAACGTTTTGCAGTTATGCATTTCTTGAAGTTTACAATTATATATTTTTACATTTGTGTAAAACTAATGTTACTTAGTTGTAGTTTTTGGTTATTCGTTATTGCTGTATTTTGAAGTGGACTATGTATAAATCAAACAGACATGCCTCTCTCACGGAAGTGAACTGACATAGAGAACTTAGGCTACTACTCGCAAATCCATACGAAGCGATATGATGTAAGTATTGTACTTTTAACTACACAGTTCTAAATAATCGATAGCAATAAATTTATTTTGTATATGAGGGGAGGA